ATTTGTTCCTAATCTTGTCTTTCCTGGTATGTCCACACATTCATCTTAACATCTTCATTTCAGCTACTTTCATCTTCTGGACTGGGACTTCTTGACGGGCCAACACTATGTCCCATACAACATAACCGGCCTAATCACTACTCTGTAGAACTTGCCTTTAAGTCTTGGTGGCACATTTTTACTACACAAAACTCCGGATGCAAGCCTCCATTTCATCCACCCTGCACCAATACGGTGAGTAACATAATATTGGCGCAGAAATATGAATAAAAAACAAATAAAACACTGCGGAAGCAATCTATAGCACAAACAAGCACAAATATCGGTTAATTCTATACAATAGCTCTAAAGTGACTACCTTTATAATTTTTCCAATAAATAGACAAAAAAGAAGCCCAAATCTCACCCCACAACAAAGATGTGGGATTGGTGTAAATTTTACTCTCTCTCGCTTTGCCATGAGGACCCTTTAGCGGTAACAGAATAGCGGCAATTAGAGAAGGGAGATGGGTTAAAATTTGTCCTTGAACTCTACGAAATGGTTCAGATACCCTCATTAATAATTGAGTTTAAAGTTAACCTTGTCGTAACCAAATGGGCTAGATGTAAGTTTTCCCCCTGATTGACCAATCTTATAAGAAATAAGTGGTTAAAAATTGCCATTTAACTATGCAATATGGTTTTAGATTGGTGTAGTTCTAGCGCCGGTAACACCTCAGAACTTCCAATGACTAGGTCTCTATCTCCCTAGCTCAAATTAACCACCGTCAAGCCTTAAATCAACCCAAATTGAACTCAAATAAAGATCAATTGCACCAAAATTAAATTCTCATCTTTGCTGGAACTCCATCAGACACAATTCCATCACCACCCCCTTCTTAGTTCACCAGAGGTCCTAGAATCGGTGCAACAACAACAACAACGAACCACAAAGTGGGGTCTGGGGAGGGTAGTATGTACGTAGACTTTTCTTTACCCCTACCCCATAGGGCAGAAAGGCTGTTTCCGATTGAGTTCTTGGATTCAGTGCATTTCCTGGAATTCTGTCTGAAGCCATAATGGATTGGCTCGCACATCATTACCAAGATTTATGATGATATTCGCGGCCTTTTCTTGAATTGTGCTTCTCTCAATTTCCTGGAATTCTGCAACTACAATGATCAGCAACTTTCTGCCATCAACCCTTCTTTCTTTGCTGGTGAATCCATAATCTTCTTTTCATGATTCAAAACGGGCATTTTAACAATTAATGATGTTATTATAGTCCTTCCTATACAGAAGACAATTAACATGTATTTTTCATTCTCAGATGCCTTTTAGTGTGATACGCAATCTTCCAGTCAAGAAAGTTCAGAATTTCTTGCTCTATACTTAGTTTTGTGTTACAAAGACAAAAACATACCCTTCTTTTTGGATATAAGCAAGTTTCTATTATGAAACTTTTCTTGATCATAAATTTATTTTGGCCTATGTAAATATTCTGGGAACTACGACAATATAATTCCAATAATTACATAGTTTCTGGTCTCTCTACATCATTAACTTTTTGAGAGTCCGGAGACATTTGTTGAGTGAATGTGAATTATTATATATTTATGCACATCAACCAGGCTCAGATGAAATATGTCACACGAGAGGGACACCAAATTCATACCCACTCCACGAAAAAAACATTGTCTGGTGCAAAACTTAATAACCTTTATGAATCGAACAAGCAAATCCTCTGACAAGACAAGTAAGTGATAGAAATGGTATCATCAAATAAAATACAAAAGAAACATTGAACAGCGTACTGGCGGGTCTGGTAGTGACAATGATTGTCCCTCAGCCTACATGGGATAAAACAAAACAGAACTGAACATGGTAAAAAAAGAATATAGTAAGAATCCCAGCTGACTGCCTCATATAACTAATATCTTTGATATCCGAACAAAGCCACTCGAGCCAAGTTATGCAATTAAGCGACAGCAGGCATGTCCTTGAGCCAGGCATCCAGCGGTTTACCAATTGAGTAGACTATAAACCCGATCTCTCTAAGCTTCTCCATGTCCACAACGTTCCTACCATCAAAAATAAAAGCGGGTTTTTGCATGTTGTCATATATCTTCTGATAATCAAGAGTCTTAAATTCATCCCACTCTGTAAGGATGCAGACAGCATGGGCATCCTTTGTTGCTGTGTAGGCATCCCAAACAACGCTGACTTGTTTCACGGTTGTTGGACTCATTGGCTGAAGGTGAAGAGGATGATCCCAATCGAACTTGTTCATTGAGAGGTCTCTCTGAATTTGGTCCTCATTCACCTGAGGGTCATATATGCTCAACTTAGCCTTGTCCCCCAACAGTCCCTTGCAAACATCAATTGCAGGGGTCTCTCGAGTATCACCAGTATCCTTCTTGAAAGCAAAACCTAGAACGGCAACTTTCTTGCCTGATACTGTGTTGAACATGGAGGCAACCACGCGGTTGACAAAACGAGTTTTCTGATAGTCATTGATCTTGATAACCTGTTTCCAGTATTCAGCCACCTCTGGAAGACCATTGCACTCACAAATGTAAACCAGATTCAGAATATCCTTCTGGAAGCAAGAGCCACCAAAACCAACACTAGCATTAAGGAACTTGGGACCAATCCTCGAGTCCTTTCCAACAGCATATGCCACCTGTGAGACATTTGCTCCAGTAGCCTCACAAAGAGCTGACATGGCATTCACAGAAGAGATTCTTTGTGCCAAAAATGCATTGGCAGCCAATTTTGAGAGCTCAGCAGACCACAAATTGGTGGTGAGGATGCGGTCTTCAGGGACCCATTGGGCATACACATCCTTCAATGCTTGGATAGCCTTCTGACCACCTGGAGTTTCCCGACCTCCGATCAGGACCCTGTCAGGTTTGAAAAGGTCTTCGATTGCGGTCCCTTCTGCAAGAAACTCAGGGTTTGAGAGGATCTGGAAGTTAATGCCCTTGCTGTTGTGGGTCAAAATCTTTTCGATTGCCTCGGCAGTTTTAACTGGAACAGTTGATTTCTCAACAACTATCTTGTCAGATTTTGAAACATCTGCTATCATGCGAGCAGCACTCTCCCAATAAGTTAAATCTGCAGCCTTGCCTGCACCAAGACCCCTTGTCTTGGTAGGAGTGTTCACTGAAACAAAAACGATATCAGCCTCCCGCACATGTTTCTCGACATCTGTGCTGAAGAAGAGGTTCCTGCCTCGGCATTCCTTGACTACATCCTCGAGGCCTGGCTCATAGATGGGGAGCTGGTCGCTGTTCCAGGCTGTGATGCGAGGCACAGAAATATCAACAACAGCCACTTCAATAGAAGGGCACTTGAGTGCTATGACAGCCATGGTGGGCCCCCCAACATATCCAGCACCTATACAGCAAATCTTCACCATTTTCCTTCGTTCCAAACTGCAAAAGACAAAAGTTCATGACTTTGAGTACTTTTGAGGCTGGACTTCTCACAACATAAAGGCAAATTCATAATGTAAGGAGCAATATGCACAAAACTGAAATGCATTTATAGAGGAACAAAATGGATCCAAATAGTGTGTGCACTTGGTAGATTTACTAATTGCGTTTTATATCGCCCTTCACTGACCCTATTCAGCAAACACTTGTCCTCCTACAGTGACATCCACAATAAAAACTGATTGCATATGAATAGTAACAGCTAAATACCAACCACAAGATCCACATTCTTAACATCTAAATGTAATACTACCTAATATTAGAGTAGGCTTTCATGTATTTCAGTACTGCAAATTATTATAAAATTTAGTCAAAGAAAGAGTACCCACAGAATGACATTAACCAAAACACTAGGTGATTTTCTCCTATCTGTTCAAGCCTTGATGGAAAAAATTACCTGGTGGGAGGTAGGAGGCGGTATGAAGGCAGAAAACTAGAATGAAAAGTCTGTATATTTGATGAGCCTCCAATGGAGTTTATATACAAAGGAAGTAACCAATTGTGCTAAGCTAACTCCTAGAAGGTAGGAAAATATAACCAGTACAAAAAAAAAAAAAATTGTAAAAGCTAAAATCCAGTGGATACTAAACTGTAGCCTAAAGTTACTGAACAAAGACCCATTCAAACCTAACAGCAGTAGTACATGCGCTATTACGCCCCCTCAAGTTAGCCTTGAAGATACAACGCGTAACTTGGGAAGCATGCGTTGGAAGGCCAGCTTGGACAATGGTTTGGTGAGTGGATCCGCAAGTTGATCAGCAGAGTGGATATGCGATATGCGGACTAGGCCACTGTGGACTTGGTTATGAACAAAGTGAAGATCAACCTCAAGGTGCTTCATTTTTGTATGATGTACTGGATTCTCAGCAATGTAAGTGACCCCAAGGTTATCACAAAGTATTGTAGGAGCAGCAGAGAGCGTCACATGAAGATCTTTGAGCAAGTGTGTGATCCAGTTTGTTGACAAGGCAAAAGCAACGGCACGATACTCTGCCTCAGTGGAGGAGCGAGAGACAGTAGGTTGCTTACGAGAACACCAGGAGATAGGCGTCGTGCCTAGATAAACAATATAACCAGAGATGGAGCGGCGATAATTGATATCACCTGCCCAATCGGCATCAACATATGTATACAGAGAGCGGTTGAAGGTTGTGGGGAAATACGAATACCATGCTGGGATGTTTCTTTAAGATACCGAAGGATCCGTTTAACTGCCTTCCAGTGAATCACGGAGGGAGAGGTGTTGAACTGAGTTAGCTTGTTTACCCAATAGGTGATGTCAGGTCGGGTAAACGAAAGGTACTGAAGCTTACCAAGCTCAGATCTGTACTCTTTGCCTTTGCTTCAAAGTGGTTATGGGAACGTGAGCGACACACATTTGCTGTATGGCCAAAGTGGTCACATAGTTGACAGCGAACCCGTGGGTTGAACAAATTGGTTAGGAAAGTTGCGCCAGTGGGGATTAGCATTTTGATTGGACTGCCTATTTGGGGTACGTCAGTTGTTGTTATTGTTTGGTGGGCGTCAATTGTTGCGTGAAGTTGGTGAAGAATTCGTGACGCGTTGAGCAACAGCTGCTATGACTTGTGTGGTAGTTTTCTTAAGGTCCTCATGTTTGAGAAATATCTCATGATCAAGGAGCTTGTCAAGAAGTTCCTCATAGCTGGTTGCAGAGTCGCGTGCCCGTATGGCTGCGGAGATCTCACGAAACTCTGGGCCGAGTCCGCTCAGTATTTTCACCACAAGTTCTTCATTAGCAACAGGAGAACCTGCTGTGGCAAGTTCATCAGAGAGAGATCGAATCTCTCGCAGGTATTCAACAATCGATTTGGTGTCTTTGGGGACCCGACTGAGATGGTGATGGAGACTAAAGATGCGAGTTTGCGATTTGTTCGCAAAGGAAGTATGGAGTTGATCCCATGGCAGATTTAGAGTTGGCTGCAGAGACGACAGTGGATGCAATGGTGGCATCAACAGAGGCCATTAGAGCATTTTGGATCAGTTTATCTTGACGAAACCAATCCTTATACTCCGAGTTGGGCGTCTCACGGCTGTTGGTGGTCACTGTTGTCGGAGGAGATGGCGTAGAGCCATCAAGATGACCATAGAGGTCATGACCATGGAGTAGCATGGCAATTTGGGCCTTCCATGTAGTGAAATTATGGCTGCCAGACAATTTAATGGGCAACTGAGATGATGGGTTGAATTGGATTAAATGTTTGAACACAGTGGTGTTGTCAGCATTAGCAACTACACAGCAACTGGTGTAGAGGAACCCATTTTTGCAGAGGAAAAAAAGAGAGGATCTTGGATAGTTTACTCGTTAAGTGTTGCTTTGGCTCTCAGACCATATGAAGGCAGAAAACTAGAAAGAAAAGTTTGTATATTTGATGAGCCTCCAATGGAGTTTATATACAAAGGAAGTAACCAATTGTGCTAAGCTAACTCCTAGAAGGTAGGAAAATATAACCAGTACAAAAAATAAATTAATTGTAAAAGCTAAAATCCAGTGGATACTAAACTGTAGCCTAAAGTTACTGAACAAAGACCCATTCAAACCTAACAGCAGTAGTACATGCGCTATTAGGTGGAACTAGTCAAGGTACGCAAGCTGACCCGGACATCACAGTTATAAAACAATACACGTATTGTCACTTTCTATTCATTGATCAGATATGCACCAATGAACATGGAATTCGGAGGAAAGGTGCGAACTTCATTAATTCAACACAGAAAACAACGGCATTCCATAAGTACTTACATCAACTAATCATGATCTTGACCGGATCTAAAACAAAAACAGTCAGATTCAAAGTCTACCTCTTGCTCTGAGCTAAAATTCAACTGATATTAGCAAAGATCAATTCTTATTACAAATCCACTAATGAATGATCGAAGCAGACACTAGATCTCTACAGATACGAAAGATTATAGATCAAAACTAAGAAGACCGACAATTAAGCAATGTCATTATCCAGACGAAAAAAAAAAGCTTTGTTTTCTCAACAGATTGTTAAGAATACACAAAATTCACACTTCTCGATCTACGAAATAAAAAAGAAATCTTTACGACAAACTGAATCAATAACAAATCAATGAAGCATATCATTACACATGATATGTGATTAACCAAGCATAATACCTGTAGTGTTACGAGAAGAGGGAGATGGATCTGCAAAAGAGGAGAGCAACTTTGATAATTAAGGAAGGAAAGAGTAACATGTGAGCTAAGAAGGCGGGGGACATCCTTAAATAGTCTGTTTCACCGGATCTTAGATCTAACCCAACGGCTGTAGTAAGAGAGGCTGCCGAGTCTTTTTCAAGGCAAATTGAGTAACAATACTAGTACTAAATAAATAATGTGTGTGTATATATTTCATACCTAATTAAATAGCAAGAGGTTAGGAAATCATAGGGCCCAAATTTTGTGACATTTCAGTTTGAACTTTCAACCATTTGTGATTTGACTATCCTTTTGGAATATGACAGGAAACGAAAATTATTTTTCAGGGATTTTTTGACTTTTTTCTTATCCAAAATAAGTGATTTTTCCATATTTCAAGAATGAATTTAATTATTTTTTTTCCTACATTGCCCTTTGAATAATTAATGTTGGAGTATGTGTTATGAGTGTTTATATGAAGAGATAGTAAAGGTTAATATGGTCAATTTCATTGCTAATTAATGTTAAAAGGTGAGTTTCTTAATATGTGTGAAAACAACCAAAAAATTACTTATTTTGGACCGGAGGGAGTAGTAATCTTATTCATTTTCTGGTATTTGGTACGCAAATTAAGGAAAATAACTTCTCAAGAGTATTTATAAATAATTTAGATACAATAAACATGAAGCCATAAACTTTCGAACCAACAACCTTCCGAACCCACAAATTTCACAAACTTCAAAACAGCTAAACTTTCGAAACCACGAACTTGCGAACCCGTAAACTTTATAATTTCTAAACCCGTAAACTTCCAAACACATAAACCTCCGAACTCATAACTTTGGAACTTGTAAAATTTCGAACCTGTAAATCGAAAGATGAAAAAACTAAAACTAAAAATATATTAAAAAAAATATTTTTT